AGTGTTATCTAAATCTAGGAAGTAAAACTTTAATCCTTATTTTTAATCCTATTTATATGTAATAAAACAAGCTTTACTAGACTTCTTTTGATAGGAAAAGAGAATACCTTTACTGAATGTGACACTAGCAAAGCCAAATGATGGTGGTGATGATGATGATGATGGAAGTAATTTCAAAGAGTTACAGACCAAAAGAGTTTGTGCTAGTTTTGTTGGGAAGCATTGGTTTTCCTATATAGGCATACCGTCTTTTATTGCACTCTGCTTTTTTGTTTTGTAGTTAACTGTGTTTTTTACAGTTTGAAGTTCAAGACCAGTAGAGGAAGTAACTGCACATGGGGTAGGAAAAAAAAAAGAAGAATTAGAAGTGAAGCCTGAAGATGTGACTGAGTTGTTGAAGTCTTGTGATAGAACCTTACTGGATGAGGAGTTGTCTCTTATGAATGGGCAGAAAAAGTGGTTTGTTGAGATGGGTATTTTCATCTTCACTCCTGGTGAAGATGTGAAGATTGTTGAAAGGACAACAGAGGATTTAGATAATATATAAATGTAGTTGATGAAGCATTGGCAGGGTTTGAGAGAATGACTCCCAGTTTTGAAAGAAACTCTGCTGTAGGTAAAATGCTATGTAACAGCATTGCATGCTACAGAGAAATTGCTTGTGAAAGAAAGATTCAGTCAATCCATCAGACTTCATTGTTGTCTTATTTTGAGAAATTGCCACAACCACCCCAGCCTTTAGCAACCATCACCCTGATCAGTCAGCAGCCATTAACACAGAAGTAGATGTGGATTGTTCTGGGGTAGTATAGACATTGCTTTGGGTAGTATGGACCCCTGCCCCCCAATACCAGCAAAAAGCTTATGACTCATTGAAAGTTCAGATGATGGTTAGCATTTTAAAAAATATTTGTAAATTTAAGCATGTACATTGTTTTTTTTTTAACATAATGTTATTGCACACTTAATAGGCTATAGTACAGGTGTTGGCAAAGATGGGGAGGAAGGGAAACCCCTTTTGCACTATTGGTGGGAATGCAAAGTGGTACAGCCACTCTGGAAAACAGTTTGGAGGTCCTCAAAAAGTTTATAAAAATAGAACTACCATATCAGCTGGCAATTTCACTACTAGGTAATTACCCAAACAATACAAAAGTACTGATTCAAAGGGGTACATTTACCCTGATATTTATAAGCAGCATTATCAACAGTAGCCAAACTATGAAAAGAGCTCAAATGTCCATCAACTGATGAATGGATAAAGAAGATGTAGTAGTATATACAATGGACTATTACTTAGCCATCAAAAAGAATGAAATCTTGCCTTTTGCAATGATGTGGATGGAGCTGGGGAGTATTATGTTAAGCAAAATAAGTCAGAGAAAGACCATATAATTTCATTTATATGTGGAATTTAAGAAATAAAACAGATGAACATATGGGAGGGGAGAAAAGAAAAAAGGAGAGGGAGCCAAGCCATAAGAGACTCAATGATAGAGGACAAACTGAAGGTTGAGAGAGGGAGAGGTGGGCTAGGTGGTTGATGGGGATAAAGGAGGGCATTTGTTATGATTAGGACTGGATGTTGTATGTAAGTGATGAATCACTGAATTCTACTCCTGAAACCAATATTGTACTGTATTTTAACTAACTAGAATTTAAATAATAAACAAACAAAAAACAACTTACATAGGTGCCTGGGTGGCTCAGCGGGTTAAGCCTCTGCCTTCAGCTCAGGTCATGATCTCAGGGTCTTGGGATCGAGCCCCACATCAGGCTCTTTGCTTAGCAGGGAGCCTGCTTCCCCCTGCCTCTGTGCCTACTTGTGATCTCTCTCTCTTTCTCTGTTAAATAAATAAATGAAGTCTTTAAAAAAAAAATTACAAATATTTTGTAGTTATATAAAATTTTTAAAAATAGTCAACAATATGGTGTAAATATAACTTTTATATGCACTGGGAAGTCAAAAAATTCATTTGACTCTATTGTGATATGTGCTTCATTGTGGTGGTTTGGAACCAAACCCAAAGTATCGCTGAGGGATGCCTGTGTTGAGTTCAGTTTTTACCTGTAATTGATGGGGAAGTGTTAAAACCACAGTGGTTTATTTGCAGTGATGTGCTGGCTGCTACAACAATAATAACATCAAAATTTAAGTGGCATTTATATGTATTACATAAGTACATTCACAACCACAAATGAATTATTTGAAAGAAGGAATATTACAGTTAAGCTGACAGAATCAGATCTGCAGGATTTCTTATGTAATCATTAGAGCTTTTTTAGTTTCTTTCAAAGTCTCATTTTCATGTTGCTAACATTAAAAACAACTACACAAAAATGAAAAGACAAAGGTGTTTCTTTGGAAATGTTGGATGAATCCGTAGCAGAGAAGGTAGTTTATGTAATACTTTCTGACAACACCATAGCTTGATATATTTAGGAATAGTTTAGTGATACAGAAGACTGACTCTTGGACAGATAGGGATAGCAAAGGAATTTTTTGTTACAATTTGATTATCACGTTGATTTTGTTAATATGACAGTGATAGGAAGGCAGAATTTATTTTTCAGCTTCCTTGTTGACAAACACAACTTACTAGGACTTATGTAAAACTTTAAAAGGTTAACAAATCACCAGATATGGTTTGGAGGGTTTTTTTGCTTTTGTAGGAGTATGTTCTGATTATAGAGAGATGGTGACAAGAAAAACACTCTGGAACCTGTGCCATAATGTGAATCAATGTCCTGCTTCTTTCATTGAGAAAACCTTGCTATTGTCAGCTGAACTAAACGGTATACTTCCTTTATCAGCTAAATTAACAGTAGTTCACTAAAAGTGTGAATTGCTCAAACACTAATGCATTAAATTTGAGATTAAAAAAAAATAAACTATAGTTTGGAAGCTGAGACGGTCAACTGTTACCATATGCTAAGGAATACAATAATTTTCAAAGGGAAATATTCAGACAAAAAGTGTTTGAACTTTGGGATGAACGCTTAGTGTTTTTGCAGGGAACCAGTTTGGTCCCCAGACTTCTTAAATATGTGAATTAGATTTATTTGTCTGATAGCCTTATTCTTTTTTAAAAATGATTTTAGCTTTCCATGCAAGGAAAGAAAGATGTTTTTAATGTTATATAATATCAAAGGACAAAAATGAAACTTAGAAATTTGGGGAAAAAATTTCCAGATTGTTTTGATAGGTTTCACAGTAACAATTGTCAGTAAAATAGTTGGTGATTTTTGTAGTGCACATTTATAAAATGTTAATATCAAATTGGTAAGGCAAACTTGGGAAGAAGTTTGTCAGATTTACAAATTTGGTAAGACATATTTTGAATTTTATTTTTTATTAAAAGAAAGTGCATATAAAGTCAATAGCTCAAGAATCCACTTTTTTCATCAAAAACTATTGCGGATTGAACTATAATTTTGATGGATAAATTATTGATATTGGCTACTAATAAAGGATTGAAGACAAATTTTAAAAAGCACCATTTTCTGGATTTTGGGTAAAAGTTAAAAATTAGTATCCTGAGCTGAAATTGCTTTAAAATATCTTCTATTCCTGTTAACATACAGCTATGAAACTAGTTTTTCTGTTATGAGTGCTATTGAAAGAAAACCTAGAAGTAGTTTAGATATACCTTATCCCTCGTGTCTGGCATTGTCATCAGTCTAACCTAGTATAGGTCAATTTACAAAAATGGCAGCCAGCCTCTGACAGAGCTCCCAGGATGCCCTACCTCCTGGTATTTACATCTTCATAATCTCCTTCCACATGGCAGTATATATAGGGTTGATGTGATAGTATGTCACTTATAAGATTAGGGCATAGATAATGCAGTGTCTGTCTGTCTGTCTCCGGAAACCAGCTGTCATGTGGTGAACAACCCTACATGATGCCTACATACCGAGGAACTAAGGCTTTTGGTCAACAGCCAGTTAGAAACTAAAGCCTTCTGCCATCAGCCATATGAGTGAGCTCAAAGGCAAATTTTTCTAGACCAGTCAGGCCTTCAGATGACTGTAGTCCTGACCAAAACCTCATAAAAGACCTTGAAACATAACCACCCAGCTAAACTGCTTCCAGATTCCTAACCAACAGACATTGTGAGATAAGTGTGTGGTGTTTTAAGCCACTAAGTTTTGGTGTAACTTTTAATGTAATAAATAACTAATATGAAAAACAAGAAGCAAACTCACTTATTATGTTAAAAACTTTAAATATGAGCATATATGCTATTAGTTCAGGGAATATGAATTGGTGTTTAATATGAAGAATTGCCATTTCAGTCATCACTTTCACTTATAATTATGAAATGGCAAAAGTTATTAGTGTGATGGCTGTTTTCTGTGATTGCCTGTATGACAGTTCAGTGAAAGTACACAATTTTATGTAGTTCTTTTTTCTATTCATTCTAATTATTGAAATACAATTTTATGGACATAGCTAATAAAACAGTGAACTTGTATTTTATATGGCCATTTTCCCACTAGTTTGTTTTCATTTGATCTATTGGTCTATGATGGATTAGAATTTAAAAAAAAAAAAAAGGAAAAAGAAAACAAAATGGTTTTCCACCACAGGTAATCTACATTAAGTTCCCTGTCAGTTGTCATAGTACCCTACATTTAACCTTATTGTGGTGGTCATCTTGCTTTATTATGATGGGTTATATTCCCTGTTAGACCGAAAGCTCTTTGAAAGGCAGAGTCCATGTCTTTCTTTGCTGCTATATCTTCATGCACAGAACAGTGTCTGGTACTTAGTGGCTACTCAGTAGTTATTGGTCAGAAGAATTAACTTTTTGTTTTTTAATTTTTTTTCGTTGTGTTGGAATAATGATTAACTTCTTTAGTTATAAATGAGTTGGCTACTATAACCATGTGTCCTCAGGGAATGGTAATTATTTATGGTGAATAGAAAATATTCTTGGCATTCTTCTTGCTGAGTATTAGATACTTTTATAAAATACATCTTTTTATTTCCATAGCACAACTGCCTCTGAAGAAGATGTTTCAAGTAGATATCCCCGAACAGATAGAAGTGGGTTCAGCAGATATAACAGGGATGCAAATGCTTCAGGTAATTTGGTCTCAAGTAGCATGTTGGAAAAGAAAATTGAAGATCTTGAAAAGGTATGAATTACAAACTATTTTAAGATTGATAAATTTCGTATACCATAGGGATTCCTTTTTTTTACCTTCAGAGCAGCTGAGAAAATAAATTGAAATTTGTATGGGAGAGTTGGTGCCAACAAAAGGAAAAGAATGAGAGGTGCTCGTGGAAGATACCATTAGGGTTAATTGGTATTTCCATATATAGTCAAGTTGCATCTTTAAATCACTGTCTTAAGTATATATTTTCCAGATACATTGTGGCTAGACATTTTCTGACTCCATTAACACTTTCCTATCCAGTTCTGTTGTTAAAACTTTTAGGAATGGAGCCAGTTCTTGTATTCCTTAATATTTAATGTATACTCCCATTCTGCTGCATGTTACCGCTAACATTTTAAAAGACAGTCGTTGTTTTTAAATGATTCTAAATCTATGCTGGCAGTGTGCCCTACTGTGTTTTTATTATATTATCTATATAGTGTATCATTTGTAGACTTTCTTCTGGGTCTTGTTTAGAGCTTAGAATCATCTTCGGTGTTTGAAACAATTGTCAGAATAGACCTATTCAGGAGTGTAGTTGAGAACAAGTCAAATGAATATTGTCATAAATATATTAACCATACAGTCTTTGGGTTTTTTTTCTGTCAACATTTAATACATAAAGTTGGTAATAGTGCTGATTACTTTCTGATTGTTGAAAATGTTTTGTATTGCTGACTTGAAATTATTCCCTGTGATACAAAGATTGCTTTAAGTAGAAATTTAATTTTAAAAAATTTGTATAGCATTATGATTGTTTTTTAGTTCATATTTCAGCTTTGATACCAGTTTCTGTGAGTTTAAGTTAAAAACTTAAAGGAATACATAGTCTAACCAGTTTAAAAGCTTTCTTTAGAAAGGCTTTTACAGTTCCACATGAGTTTGGATCCAGTCCTGAGTAGTTTGGCAGCAGCTGTTTAATGAGGCCCACTGGCTGCTTTTTCTGAGGGCTAGCAGAAAAGAGGTTAAATTCTGAGCAAAATTTTTCAGTTCTGCTTTCCTTTGCCCCCATGGTAGTCAACCCAGCCCAAGACCCTGAATTCTAAATCAGATTTCTTTGAAAAAGGTATTGCATTGTTAAAAAAAAATAATAAAAAAGCTTAAAAACCAGTAATCTATTTCAGTTCCTTTATTTTATCCATTAACTGGTAGGGCCACAGGTAACATTGAGAACCATTGTTTTTCTGTTTAGTTTTCCAGAGCCATCTCCTTTTCTTAAACTTTTTGGGTTTGTTTTGTTTTGTTTTTAAGATATATTTATTTACTTATTTGGTTGGGGAGGGACAGGCGGTGAGGGAGAGAGAATCCCAAGCACCCTCCGCTGAGCTTGGAGCTGACAAGGGGCTCCGAGATCACTACCTGAGTAGGAGGCTTAACCAACTGCACCACCTAGGTGCACCTTAAACTTTGTATTTTGAATAACATATTTGAATTTCTTCAAACAGGATATTATTCATTTAAAAAATAAGATATATCATTACTAATGGTGGTAATGAACTAAAGAGGGTAAGTCATTGGGTATTATTGTTTGTTAAAGAATTGTGTAAACATCAGTTTAATCAAAATATGGGGCACCTGGATGGCTCATTTGGTTAAGCATCTGACTCTTGGGTCCTCCTCGTATCATGATCTAATAGATTGTGAGATCAAGCCCCGCCTTGGGATTTTGCTTGGATTCTTTCCCTCTCCCCTTTTGCCCATGCTCACCTTTACCGGGGCTCGCTCTCTCTCTCTCTCAAATAAAATATATAAATCCTTTTAAAAAAAAAAAAAAAAGAAGAAGAAGGAATATATCTTACATCTCCTGTATTCCTCTCATTCTTTGGGTCTTTCCTAGGCTGGGTTTTTCCTTCCCTCACCAGGTGACTTAAGAAATCCATTGAAATCTTTATATATCTAAGGTGCTTCACCAAACTTGGCAGATACATGTCATTTAAGGTTAAAAACAACCAGTTACTTCACAATTAATACTTCGTATTAATTATATCTACCAGGAAGTAGTAAGAGAAAGGCAAGAAAACTTAAGACTTGTGAGACTAATGCAAGATAAAGAGGAAATGATCGGAAAACTCAAAGAAGAAATTGATTTGTTAAATCGAGTAAGTATTCAAACATTTCAGTTTCACAGTTGTTTTTTTTTTCCTGGCAGTTGGATGAAAATACATATATATGAAGAGATTATGTAATTTCATTATTTTGTTAAAGAGATGATAATTTATGGTAATAAGAATCATTTCTTTCTATAAACTGATTTCCTCTGGCCAGTTATCAGTTGTATTCAGTTATTATTGTTCTTTTGGGGATGGACTGATGAATGGATTTGTTTAGTGTTTTGTTAAGAGTTGAGGTGAGAGGCAGCTTGGTCACCACCACACATAAAAGGACATGGGTACAGAGTTGCCTCAGTGAAGAGCAAAACTTGCTGCTTTCTTGCCATAAGAAACTTGAGATGTCTTTGTGTTTTACCACCTTTTTCCCCCCAATTGTACTTAATGCATGTCCCCCTTAAGTTTAGCATTATACCAGGTCTCTATTATACTATTTTGTAATTCTTTTTCTTGCTTTCAGCCCTAGAATTCACTTTTTGCTTAAGAAACAAGTGTTAGTGCTGGGCCATTCTTAAGCAATGCTGATGAGAAGAGATTCCATAGTTTTGCATACTGGAATGATTTAGATAAGAGAAAAAGTTTGGGGCGCCAGGCTGGCTCAGTGGGTTAAAAGCCTCTGCCTTTGGCTCAGGTCATGATCCCAGGGTCCTGGGATTGAGCCCCGCCTGGCCTGGGATTGAGCCCTGTGGTGGGCTGTCTGTTTGGCAGGGAGCCTACTGCCTTTCCTCTCTCTCTGCCTGCCTCTCTGCCTACTTGTGATCTCTGTCTGTCAAATAAATAAATCTTTAAAAAAAAAAAAAAGTTTGCTTGGGGGTGAGGGGAGGGAAACAGATTCCTAATCGAGTCTTGACCCTAACAATGAAAGAAGAGGCAATAAAGAGGCTTCATTATATAGACCCATTCTAAATAAAGCTCTGAGGCATTAACTATAGGTAATAGATGAGGACAGCAAAACTTAGTTTAACTTGCTCAAGGTCATAGGTGGTAATCACAGAGTAACTATCTGAGCCAGTATTTGACAGCAGGTATTCCAAAATCCTAATTCTGAGCTCTTCCATTTTTGTAGACAGTCTTCCATCTTGGTTTAGAACACAGGTGTTCCTCTACTGGTTTTGGAATATGATTTAATAAAATATGAAAATAGTTTTGAAGTAGTATTAGTACTGTCTTGGGCACTGTGCATTAAAAAGAATAATAAAACATCTGCTCTTACAGAGTTTATAATCTGGTAATGATACAGAAATATATCTTACTTAAGTCTACATCTTAGAAAGGTCTCAGTTGTAGTAATTTTCAGAATCTTGTATATTATTGTTGTTTTCAACAGGTAAGTTCCCTAGCATCATTCATTTGGTTTGTGAATAAATGCAGATTCTATTTTTGCACATTTTAAAAACATTTACATAATTGTCCAAAGGCAGTATGCTGAATTTATCAGAATGCTGCTATCTGGTAGCATGCTTATAATTTAAATTGATTACTCAAGTTTTAGTATTTTGAATTACAAGGATAATTCTAAAATACATGCTTTTACAACTATCAGTAAGCATTCTGCCTTGAAATAGTTTCTTTTAATTTAGAGTGGATTATCTTCATCTTTACCAAATTGTTGTATATATGGTGCTGGGATTTACATAGGGAACAAAGACCTGGAATCATATACCTTTAAAGCTGGAGGATGATTACTTAGTTTAGTGGCTTTCTTTTTTTTTGAGCTTTAAAAACCTTTTCCTCAAACAAAATGTTATGGAGGAACCTAACATGAATTGAACCAGATCAACTCTCTGTGCTCCAGATCTCCTTTACTGTATGCCTCCATTTTATCACTTCCTCAGATTTTCACCTCACAACATACACTCTTGTTAAAGATCATACAAGGTGGTAGGAGTATATCCAGAACTTGTACCTCGATCTTTCTGATGTCTCATTTGACACAGGTTGTTATCTGAGACCCTGAACCTCATACTGCCCACATATTTATTTTGTTTAGTCCTCAATTTGGGGTGGGGGGGGTTGTTCTTAACTAAAAAATTAAGCTGTTTATAATGATTAAAAATTAGAAGATTCACAATTAAAGAATTCTGGTTTTTTATTTCTCTTAAAAATGAAAAATCTGGCAAGACGTGATCTGTCTTAACCATGATAATAATGAGAAGGAGTTGAGTAGTGGGTGCTCCCTTCAGGTGTGGGGCATACTCCATCTAAAGTTGTTTTTGGAACTTGTCCTTGTTTCCAAATTAAGTGCATGTATGAGTTATCTTTGAATGTATTTATTTTAAAATGTTTTTTTTAATCACCTTTAGAATATTTTTAAGTACTTAAAAAACTCCTATGTTATTTTCTTTTTTGTTTGCTTAAGGACCTAGATGACATAGAAGATGAAAATGAACAACTAAAGCAGGAAAATAAAACTCTTTTGAAAGTTGTTGGTCAGCTAACAAGGTAGAAGATTCAAGACCCAGTGTGGAAGAAACATTTTAAAACTACTGATTGAATGTTATGGTTAATGCTAGGATAATATTCCTATGCTGCAATACATTAAGTATGTGTATTTATTTCGAGAAAACAGTGGGTGTTTATTTTCAAAATACTTCTTTTTCATTATTTCAAAACAGTATCAACCTTCTGTTTCACCAATAAGTAACATCTTTCAGTTATTAAAATGATCGGTTATGCCTCTTTCGGTTTTGTGTGGTATTCAAATAATATATGGTTTAAAGTCACAACCATTTGAATATATTTTATCTATGGTAGTATGTTTTCTCCCTAAAGGAATATACATAGTCTTTGTTTACATGGATTCAAATACTTTTGGGGAATTACCTACAATTGCCTTATTACTGATGTGTGCAAACTTATGTGTTGTTGATTTACTCATATAGGCTTTGTCTATTGTCATTTGTTCTTTCAGCTTATTCTGAGCAGCTTAGAGTAATAGAGTGTCATACCATTTTGTACTAACAGTCATCTTTAAAAAGGAAAGCTATTATGAAAAGTCATTTAATATCATGTACCAGTTGGCTAAATATAAAAAATTTTAGAGAATACTTGAATTGTGCTACAGTAAATTAAAATATACAATTTTTATGTTGGAATATTGAAAAAAATTTAAAATCACTTTAGCTTCTGAAAAACATAAACTTGTAATTTCATTGTAAAATTTCTTATGTAGGTACTACGTTTTTTATTATTCCAAGGTTTATAAATGAACATGGAATATTTAAAAAGTTGTTAACTCATCATTCCAGGAGAGTGTGTACAATTTCAATGTAAAAGAAAAAAATTTATATTTTTAATTATCATTTGCATTAAAAACAAAAACAAAATATTTATCCACTCTTTAAACATTTATACTTACATTTACAAAACAATGCATAAACAGAAATAGTATCAAAATACTTTGCTTATTTCTAACTTGGAGAATAATACTGTGATACAGTTATTCTCATTTGAGAGAATTATTCCCCTACCTCAAATTTAAGGGATTTTCTTCCTAACATTGGATTCTTAAAAACAATTTTTAAAATTTTTGAAGTATATAAATTTTCTATTAAATATCATTTAGTGTTTAGAGTTGTATATTAAATTTTCATGTTGAGTAAGGAAAACCCCCTCTTTTAAAATATATAAACATTAAGAAATGTCTGTCTGATAATTGAATCCCAAACAGTATACTAATGCTGTTTTGTCCAGTTAAACATAGTAAAATCCATTTTGGGTAACCTACTAACTTTTTCTTTGCTTGCCAAGTCCCTTCATTATTTACTATTAGAAAAATAGGGAAGTGAGACAGTTGGACAAAATGTAGAGTAAATGATAAATATCACCCATGTTGAATTCTATAATTTTATAATTCTAGATTGGCTTCTCATTCAGAAGTTTCAGCCTTGGTTGATCATCAGAATCACTTTTGCCTACAAAGAATTCCCTGGCTGGAATTTCTAGATAGATTTAGGTTGAGACCCTGGACAGAATTTTTAAATCTCACCGTCTGAGGATTCTGATCATAACCTAGGTTTGGAAATAGCTCCTGTCGCCTCTTTCCTTTCTGTATCTTCCACTGCAGACCCTAGAGTTAACATATGTTAGCTATGAGCATTTTGTCCCCCTTTTAGTTTATTTAATAATTTATCTGGTCTCTGGAGAAGTTTTCATATGTTTAAATATATTTACCCAAAAGTTCAATGTTAGATTACCAAACTTGATATAGTTACAGAATTATTGCATAAGGTCATCCTTTTTGAAGAATGTTAGCAAACATGGGAACAGTGACCTGCTCTCCACATATCAGAGTGGTATGCCAGGTTCAGTTACTGCCTTGGCTCTGAGGCACTCATCTCCCTTCAGTTACCCTTAAGTATGTGGCAGAAGTAGCGGTATTTCCTAGTTTGCATCCAAGCTTTGTATGTTGTGAAGATGCTGTCAGTATCCAGCCTTAAAATATATTAGTGTGCTGGTTTTTCAGTAGTTTTTGAAACTTCTATTTAATCCATATGTAAATAAAGGAATATTTCATTTCCCTTTTTAAAATTATGACAATTATTAGTGCTTTTAAAGACGGGACTGTTTTTAAATTTTCCTTTTCTTCAGTTTGTTAGAAAAGTTTCCAGCAATGATTTTTTACATAATACCTAGTGCAAATACAGGACTCTGACAACTTAAGCAAAGCAGTTCACAAGCAGTCCTTCCTCTTGGCCTTAAAATGTATATTTATATCACTTACAGATTTTGACACTGAATATTGAAAAATTAAGTAGGATCTTTTATAATTTCCCTTTAAAATGTATAAAAAGCATTGAGGTTGGAAAAAAAGCATTGAGATTTTAAAAAGGTAAAGACATGTGCACTACCTTAGAAAACTTGGCTGTTATCAATAAAATGCTAGTATTTGTGAAATTTTTAGTACCACTCAGAAATGATATTTCTTCTATTTCCTGGGAATTTATGACATAATAAAGCATATTCATATAAGTTTTAATGTGTTTATGATATTATTTTCAAAACAATGTTTATTAATTTTGAAGCATGAACATGACTTGTCTCCCCTGATTTCTGACATGCATTAACTTGGAATTACAAAGTAACCTCCATTTTTCATTTTTCTAGAATTGTTATTAATTTTATTGTACTACAGTTACCTTTAGAAAGAGGTTGGTGGTTATGTATTTCTGAGGGAATTTACTAAATACAGAGATTAAGATTAGCACAGTCACACTGGCTCAAGTAGTTTAAAACATAAAAAATTAGTAGCAGGGCAGACACATGTAGCAATGGTTTTTTTTTTTAAGTTAACTTTTTAATTGTGGTTTAAAGCAATGTATTCTTAAGGTGGAAACCCTACCTCAATTATATGTGGGTTTATGTTTTCTGGATTAATCTGGATTTTTATAATTGGAAGTTAAAATGTAACATTTTGAGCCCACTAACACTTTGTTGAAAATACAAGTCACTATAATGACTTTGTAAATTCAACACTGTTATATAAAACAGGGAAGACCTTTGATTTGATCATTGATCTGATGTCCTAGACAATATTCATATGTATAGTGATAGTCATCTTTTGTCTTTTTTGTAGTTTTATAATCTTGAGTCTGTGCCTAGTAATTTCCATGCAATATTGGCGCTTATTTAGTAACTGTTCATGGTTTAGTTAATAGCCTGTTACAAGATTCCGGCACAGATTTTCATCTTGTAAGAAACCAAACACACCAGTTTTTCATTGGTAAAATAGTAATTGAGAAAGATCTAGCATTCAAGGAGTTAGAACTTTAAAATAACATGTTAAAGTCAGTGCTAAACATTCTCTTACTGTATCTGAACCATTCCTAATATGTAATGGTAAGCTTTACTTCCTTTGCTTTGGAACTATGTTCACTCTCATAAGTAAAGGACATCCCATCAACTAGGATTATAATTTATATGTTACTTATCTGAGAACTAGTGCCACTTTTGTTGTTCCATTAGGCTGAAAGCATAGTACTAATAGACAACAAATGTTTTGCTCTTCAGGTGCTTCCCCCATGTTGTTAAGTTTCTCATTAAAGTATAGAAGTTGGTTGTTTCATTCTCAGTATTAAGACTTAAAAAATTATCCTAGAAAACCTAAACCCATATTGTTTTTTTATTTTACTTAGCTAGACTCTCACAGAATGTTAAAATGCTCTCCCCATTCTAAAAGTAATTACGTGTCAGTATATGAGAGGAATATGGATGAGGACTATAAATATATTAAATTTTCATATCTTTTCACAAGTATTTACTAATCTGATAGGTATCTAATTATGGTTTTTATAGACGTTTTTAAAAAATGGACATGGATCAGTCCTTTCATTTAGCAGTGTACAGTCTATGTAGTGTGTGTCAGTAGCACAAAGTATAACCTTAATTAGCATTAGCTGGTCTAATCTGAATAGTTCATTCAAAAATTTGTTTTTTTGTTTTTTGGTTTTGTTTTTTGGTTTTTGTTTTTGGTATTATCTAGCCATTGTCTTTCAGGTCTAGTTAATAGGTACCATTTAATTTGCAGCAGCATTTACTGAATGGTGGAGTGGAAGACCTGATGCATGTTGGGAAATATTATATTTCATTTAGGTAATTATTCTTTATGAAGAGAATGTTGTTAAGGAATATAGCAGTAATGAAATAAAAAGAACTCATAATATTTCAGATACAACAAACTATTAGTGGTATTCTCTCTGTACATTATTGATTACTAGTTTGTTTTTACATATTTACATTTAATAAGCAGTTCACATCCTGACACATATTTCTTTGGTAATAATAGAGTGTTAGTGATGATCACTTGATGGACACTAATTATGTACCTGTTTTGTTTTGACTCCTCTGGATACCTAACGGATACACATTACTTTTTTTGGTGAACTTTTTTTGGGGGAAGATTTGGCTATTTTTAATCAGGGTTTTTCTTCTGAGTTTAAGTATTAGATGGCTGCAAAAACCATATGAAAACTAAAATTTACTGTTTTGTTGAAAAATCAGTTAATTCAGGTAATTAAATATTTATAGAAAAAAACCTGGATAATTTATTGACGACATTAGTATTGTGTAGAGAGCTTTTATAATTCCCATGGCATAGGTTTTCATGTTGGAATAGTCAACTTGATATAGATTCACTTTTAATATGTTTTGCATGTAAAATAATACTCAATAAAAAATAAATTTTCATTTATTTTTCAACAATGTTTAATTATCTTTTTCCCTCCCTGAACTATCAGTAAAATGCTGACCATGAGTTTTACTTCTGGAGTTAAGGGATGACGTTAATATTCTAATTAATTTATGTGCCTCTTACTAAAATAGTACATTTGAATCTTTAGTATACATTATTGTAGAAGGAAAAATGTAAAAAATAAAAATGCCGTATTGATAAGATCTGTATACTTCAGTGGTGGGACTTCTTTAATAAGTGAGGAAGTGTACACATGTTCAATCTGACTGAAAATTTTAATGGTCTTTGTTTTAAAACTACATGAATAATTTCCTAATTCAAAATTGGATCTATTATCAACTAAATCTGATGGTGTTCAAAGAATTTCAGGTCCTTCATAGTTTGAAAAAGTTAAGTAGGAGTCTGGGAATGTAAAAATCTGGTCTTTGTGTTTTGAGTAAATGGTTTACATAACCTTTTGCTAATGTGTCGTTTTTCATACACCTGCA